GGGGAGAAGGGTGCAACAATGAATGAATGGAATCCCAAAATCTCTGCAGATGTTCATTGAAATGAAAAATAAACAAACTAAATTTAAAAAATGACTAGAACAGTTCGTAGATAGGGAACTGTCAGAAGTTTGAGCAGGATTTAGAGAAGGCCTAGGCCCCTTGTGTTATCATTGTTGATGTCAGATGATCCTGACTGAAAGTAAAGAATACCAGAAGAATGCTATGTGTTGGAGAGGGACATCATGCTTGGAAAGGCAGAGGGTTGGTGAAGAAGAGGAAGACCCTTAACCAGGTGGATCGACAACAATGAATACCACAGCAGACTTTAGTGTGATAGGAATTGTGAGGCAGCTCAGGACAGGACATAGTTCATATCTGTTGTTCACAGGGTTGCTTTGAGTCATACTTGACTTAATGGCACCCAACAAGAACAGAGATAGCATATTTGAGGTCTTAACATAGGGATGGAAGCTGAAATATAGGGAAGCATGTAAACATGCAGAAGAGACACAGAATATGGCAAGTGAAAAAAGAATATTGTGGAGAGCATAAGCATTTGTAAAAATGGTAAGTATGATTAAAATTGCTTGAATGTGATTTTTTTTGTTTTTTTGATGTTATGACTCTTTTAAAATTTTATACTGATTTATTTACAAAGTTAGAATGCATTGATTTTAAAAAAAGATTCTTCCCATTTGCTTCACCCCCCCCATTGAATTATGCAACCCTATGATTAATATCCCTCTACCCATCCTCACTCTCTGTTCCACCCCTCCCCCCTTGGACCCTCATACTCTTGAATGTGATTTTAATAATGGTGTTGATGTTGTGATGTGCCATCAAGTTGCCTGTGACTCATAGGGAACCAATGTACAACATCCCTAAACCCTGCTCTATCCTGTGCCAATCTCACTGTCTCTGACACACCTACTCCCATTACCCAAGTCACTGAATCAATCCGTTTCATAGAGGGTCCTCCTCTCCTGTACTGTTCCTCCATACTTCAAAGTATGATGTCCCTCTCTAAGGACTGGTCCCTCCTTGCAACATGTCCTGAGTATGTCAGATGAACCCAGGGTCCTTTCCTCCAAGGAGCAGTCCAATTTAACCCTGTCTAGGATGGACCTGAACCTGTTTGTTCTCTTAGCAGTCCATGGTATATTCAGTACTCTTCTCCAACACCATAGCTCTCAAAGGCATCAATTCTCCTTCTATCATCCCTAGTGATTGTCCAGTTCTCTGATGCATAAAAAGTGATTGCAAAGACCATGGCTTGTATCAGGTGCATCTCCAAACAGATCGTTG